ATATAAAAGCCGACACTCAAACCTACGAACCAGACAAAGGCAGCCACTAATCCAGCCCCTAGATCCGACTCAAACAGTCCCCAATCAGCCATTAAACTCCCCTAAACAGCCCTTAAACCAGACTAAACAGAATACCCATTGTCCTAGATAAGGTTTAGGATGATACTTACCCAAAGTCCCAAGCAACAGGGAGCTGAAATAGGGGCAGCAAGGTTGATAGGGCAGCAGCAGGGGCGTCACCAGGAATGCAGCTTCGCCGGAACAGCAGGGGGGGCTCTCGACGTCAGCTGGTCTCTCGGCTGAACGGGCGAAGGAGGCGGTGGCAACAGAGGTGAGCAGCAGCAGCTTCGCCGGAGCTGCAGGGGTCCCGGCGGACGACGAGACTAGACGGCGGCGACGGGCTGAGCAGTAGCTGCTCGGTAAGGTGGTCGGCCAAGGGGCGGTGGCGACAGACCGGCGAGACAGAGCAGGGGGGGAAAACCGGAGGAAAGCAGGGGAAGAGGGGCTACGACGGCAACGCAAGGGCGATCGGTTGCCGGCGACGGAACGACGGCGACTCAGGTGGCTGGGCGGAGCAAGGTTGGCCGGTTGGCTCAGTGGGTTGCTGCTCACGACAAAGGAAGGAGGAGGAAGCAGCTCGGTGAGGCGTGAGGAAATGGCGGCCAATAGCAGGGACGGGCGGCTCGCCGGACTGCTGGGCGGCGAGCACGGCGGCGGCTGGACACACGGCGGTGGGCAAACGACGCACGGCGGCTGGGCGGTGAGCGGGAGGCGAGCGTGCGGTGGAGGGGGAAGCAGGACGATCGGGGCAGAAGAGGGGGGGGGGGGGAGAGAGAACGTGCGGTGGAGGGGGGGGGGGGGGGGGGGGAAGAAGGACGATCGGGGCAGAAGAGAGGGGGAGAGGGGGGGGAGAGAGAACGTGATGGGAGGGGGGGAGAGAGAAGACGGTCAGAACAGGGGCGACGGTCAGAACAGGGGGGGGGGCGGATGGCGAGGGGACGTGAGAGAGAGAGCACAAAAAGTCAAATACACTCAGGTGCAAATCCAACGGCTCACAAATGATCTCGCGAGATTGATCCAACGGCCACGAAAATTCCAAATTATAAATTAAGAAAAAGGACCAAAGATAATAAATAAAACACACTACGAGGGAGGTTTACTAGTCCAAATTCGCATCCAGTCAAAATTTCACTTACCACATATCCCGGGCGATCTCGAGACTGGCCACAATAATATCGACACTGTCCAATTAAATTCGTCCCGGAACTCCGAGAAATTCCACACCAAAGTTTGGGCTCTAAATAACGGTCAACTTCGATCGAGTGCGATTCTAGCGAAATCTCTAATTTAAAAATAATAATCCAAGAGTGATCAGTTCCGGGCGAGATTTTATTATAAGCGCACTGACAAAATACACGTTTTATAAATCCCAAAAATGGGTTGAAATTCGGAATGTCACATTACTCTCACATGATGTGATGAATCTCAAACTCCAAATACCATAAGATGACATGCGACTAAATATTTTTTTGAAATAGTTCAAACCACTAAATGACTGAAGTTATGACTCCGTGATTGTCGTGATGAGCCCCCACGATATGGGGGTGCATATGATGATAGACCAAACCAGGAGTGTCGAATATGAAGAAGGATATGCCGTCGCTAATCAGATTTCGCCATTCACATTCTTCGTTTCATCTACTCTTCAGCAATCAAAAAAGGAACCCTTTATAACTAAATGGAGATTTCCTCAATTGTCACAAGATATTAGAGAGAAAGGAAATGAAATCAGCAAAAAGCAATCACAATATAGAATTAAAGAGACTAATTGATTTCACATGCTACTGAACAGTCTGTGGGCAAATCCACCTAATCACAATGTGGCTCTGATTCGGGTCAGACTACCCCCCCCACCTTATCCTTTGGCACGAATATTGATTCAACCACCTTCCATATTTACACGACACCTGCCATTTTTCGAGCCTGCCGCCACATTGAATGGGGCGTGGTCAACACCGGTGAAAGGTAGATCACAGTATCCAACTACCATTCCACTGTCTCTCTCTTCAAAGGTCCCCCATTCTCAGGCAACCTCGTCCGCCACTCCCTGCCCATTCCTCGGTTCAGCTGGTCTTTGACGATTGCTTTTTTGATCTTTCTCATCTTTGCCAAAGCTATTATGTCTAGGATGGTCCTGCTTGCTTTGTTGTTTCTTTTCCTCTCTTGAATCTGCGCTTGGATCCTTAACTAACCCATGGCCATCAGATTGAGGGGACAACAATTTGGATCATTTCAGCTAAAAAATTGGAAGTTTACTTCTTATCCATGTACTTTCAGTACTTTTCTAATGAAGTCTACGTACTTTCAATTCTATCTAATCAAGTCCTTTTATTGACATAGAACGTTTAATTAAGTTTGTTCGACACAAAATCTGGCAAGATCCGGCTGTTGTGGCCGTCGGAGGATGCTGGAGTGTGACACGAATGAAACAATGCCCATGTGGACACCCACGGGGCATCGATCCAATATCCAGTGGGTGTCCATGCAGGCTATGTTTTTAATTCACGTGATTCTTTGGCATCCTCCAACAGCCAAGTCAATTAGATTTGTCTGGATTTTGTACCAAAGGACTTGATAAGACATTATACATAAGTAAAAGGACTTGATTAAGAATTCAATAGCACATGGACTTAACTATGAAAACAATGAAATTACATGGAGAGAAAGTACAACGTTTCCTTAAAAATAGGATGGGTCAGTGATTAATCTCGGAGAGCACCTAAGAGAGTTCTTGTTTTGATCATCAAACTTTTATACTATTTGTGTGGACATTACTCAATTGTAAACTTTATTAAAATTTAAATTTAAGTGATATCCATATTCACAATCTATGGGTTGAAACAACGGTATCGGAGACAAGGGAAACTATCATATTCTTTTGCTGGAAATAAAAGGAAATGAAATTGTGAGGGTTGCCAATTCATCAGTGTTTCTGATGGAAAATTACTGAGTAATGACATCTTCTAACAAGTGTGTAATTATAACGCGGGAGCGTAAAATTTTATTAAATACCATAATCTCACAAGCCCAACTCAAGTCTCATAATCAACTGCGCCCATTTAGTATTTTATGCAAGCAAAAGTAGATTGCGGCCATAACATGATCCGATGGATCTAACGAAGAGAAAGCCTTCAAGATGGGAAATTCAAGAAGTTGAAGAATAAAGGTAGATTTGATTTGATCAAGGCTGGAGAGTTGTTTCCTAATTTAACGATTCCCGGCATAATGTCTCCTAATTCCAATGTCTTCAATGTTTCCTTTTTCCCGTATCTTTATTGTTTCCTTTATAATGACTCCTAATTCCTGTACCTCTACGAAGAGAGGTACGTTCTCGATTGTAAGCATTTAGAATTGAGTTGATACTGTATGAGAATTTCTCTCTAGTAAGTGAATCTTTCAATTCTCCATTCAATTGGTGATGAATTATAAGATTCTTTACTCTCTGTTGGTGGAACATTTCTTTATACTTTGGTGCTGAGCTCATATATCCAAAGTTATTTTCCCTCAAACACACCAAACACTCACATTCATTCCATCAAACACTTTCATCAACTTCTCACAAACTCACCATGCATCACATTGTACAGTGGATGGAGTATATGTCGCTCCCGAGACCTTACCATGTAGATATTGTATGCTCAATCTTTTCGAACTCGAAATCTACCTTGTGATCCATTGAAACTCGCATAACACTAAGGAAGTTGGAAAAATTTATTTTCATAGTCTTCAGGGTACCTAGTGGTTTTCTTTACCAAACAACCAAATCTTATATACCAACAAAATGTTTAAAGCAATAATAGTGAAGACAGTTAAAAAACTATATATATAATCACGCGTATCCATCATAAGTAGGAATTATCAATGAGTTAGTTAAACTAGAATTTCAAGTTTCTATCGTCCGTTCTTCCAGAAAAAAATTTACAAAAAAAAGTATCCATGTGTTAATTTTGACGATGACCAACTGAAGGAGATGAGAAAGCAACTTCGACTCCCAAGTGACTCCATTTGCTATGTTGTCTCAAGCTATCCAGAGACAGGAAATTTGTTGAATGAATCGCGATTGTGTACTTCATAATTGGCCTATTAAGTATGACAGAGAACTTTTGATGACCTTCTACTGTTATACTGGTATTGTATACTTTAAAGATAAAACCCTATGTGAAGCATGAGCAAGAACATTTGTTAGAAAAACTCACCACTTCAACAGAAACTACCTAGATGTAACAACAGACAATGCAGATCGCTGAAGGATTGGAAGTTTGTCGAAACCTTGGAATCGGAGGTAAACCGTGTGTCGGGTTGCTAAAATTGGTGAAATTGCGTCTAAAGCGTTTCGCCGATCTTTGTTTCTTGGGCTGCTGGGTGAAATATCTGGACTGCGGAACCCCAAGCAATAGTACTAGTGGAGTGGCCCATTTTGTTTTTCGATTAACACCGAGCTTTGTGTTTTCTGCCTTTTCTGTTATCCATATTTGTAGTTTAGCACATCAATTTCAATACGAGTTAATTGACGAAAAGCGATTCATGCGGATAAGTATAGTGATCTTGTTTGAATAATTTGTATTTTAATAATGGGAGTAGCGCTATCTTGCAAGCTTTCATCGAAGTTTGTACGATTTTACCATTCGATTTTGCTATTCAAGCTTGTAGATCCTTTGACAATTCTAGTTGAGAAGGCGAGTTGAACAACCAAGCATAGAAACTGATCTTTGAATCCTGCAAACCAGTCGGCGCCGATGGAATAATGGAAAAACCAGCCCTCCTGATTAACTACAATCATATCTCGCGGCGCCTAGCGGTCTGGCATTTTGACGCCAAGGCATGAACCGTGATTTCACAAAGATGTTGAAAGAACTCGTGCAACTTTTCTTACAATCAAACAAATGTCCCATAAAGTTTTGTCATACCATGTGCAACTTCTGTAACGTACAAAAACCAAATGAAGAAGCTGAAGATGTACTTTTCGTATGTCCGACTGTCTTGTGTTTAAATTTCTCCTAAAACACTTACATGTATAAGATTATGCGAGCAATAAGGAAGTGTAAACAAAAAGATAACTGTGATTCCTAAGATTTCACGACCCCCAACAAGCATAAAAACCAATGCAATAGAGTTTGATCTGATGTCCATGCGATCCAGATCGACCAAAGTGGCTAACTTCGAAGTTTGCCCGGGCAAGGCAATATTTAAATACCTTGAAGCCAAAGCCTGTCGAATTCCGAGGCCAGGCATCTTTTCTTGTTCTTAAGATAAGCTGTCAGATTTCTACAGGTTCCCTTCTGAGCAGTTGGGGTTCGACTGTTTCGGTCTGGTGCCTTCTCTTAATCCTGAAACTTCGTTTGTGCCTTTGATTTTCAGTTGGGTGCTGGTCGATCTCCTCTTCATCGCTGTTTGCATTTTCCATAAATGGGAGTTCTGGAGGATCATCAGGCCATGGAGTGCGCTTTGAGGGTAACGTGATCCCCAAGGGAGGGTCTATGAGCCATCTGCATCAGAGAGAGAAACTCCATTGTCAATGACAGCAAAGACCTGATTATCCAAAGCATTGTGGATATTTAAAGTGATGAGCTTCTAAAGGCAAGACACTCACCCCTTAGGGAATTCGCTACCAGGATGGGCTTCGACATGAAGCCGCCAAACCATAAGCCGGTGGCTGCAGTTTCCTAGTGGCTCCAGCACCGAAAGGTCTTTGAGCAAAGACAGAGGACTATCAACATCATCATCCCAATTGAGTAAGTCCAAGTCCCTCACCCATTCCGGCTTATCTTCAGCATCCTTCCACAGCATCCTAGAGTTTAGCGCAAAACCGGCCCATTCTAGCTTTCCCGGCAAAAGCGAGCCCTGACCATCAACATGAGTCGCTCCCCTGTGCATGTTAGGTGACCTATTATCGGTGCGCCAGCCAATGAACTGATTGGCTGAATCGCAAACCGGACCTTGGACAGCAATTAGCGAATTGCTTTCATTCATGATTTTCGAAACGGCTTGGTCCGAATCATCCACAGTTGAATGCGGAAGAATTCCTAGAGAAACAGCACCGATCCACTTCACAGCCTGGATCTCGTCAAAGAGCTCCATGCTGTGAATGTTACTGTCATCGGCGAACATCACAATGCCATCCAGATTCTTCTCTCTCACGATTCTGATACACCAGAATTCTCTGCGTTAGGTTCAGTTTCCATTTCTATTGAAGGCATCTGTTACAGGTGGAATTCCCGTTTATGTTTCCATTATCAGTGAAAGCAAACACAATCGATCGGAAATCGGTAGGCCTTCTCATTTTCCACTTCACAGACTAGAACGAAAAGTGTTTCTCAAATGATGGGAACGATCGAGATTATTCGGTTCATTGCAGATAATAAATTTCAAATCAAAACAAGAACGACAATTTGGAAGAAAAATGAGTACCAGAAAACTTGATTTATGACTAACATCTTCCGAGGAACGGAAAATTCAAGATTGAACAAAGTTTACCGGTCGAGCTAGTCATCATTGAATCAGTGTCGATCCAAATAGTTTTTGAAACACCAGATGAGATCATATGGCTCCCGCTAATAATGTTCAAGACCGTTCAATTGCAACCCTTCGCTAACCGATAGCAAAAAGAACAGGAGGACAATAGAAGCAAAGAGGCTTGACACCCAAAAGTCCCACTCACCTCAATGCATGAACTCTCATCTTCGCCTCCAAACTGTGCCGATCCTCCCAGGCTTCAGGCATCTCCTGCTCGAACCCCACATGGATAGTCCTCAAACCCGGCCTCCCGATCAGCGATGCCGTCTCACTGCTCACCCCGCCGGCTTCCACCACGATCCAAACTACCTTGTAGGGCACAAGCATCAGGGAGTGCATCAGTGCTGTCAGATGCATCGCCTGGAATGCCCGTACGTAGGTCGGCGTGATCACAATCAAAGACCTCGGGTCAGGATTTTTGGCGCTGGACTGAGCCCTCTGTTCTCTCTGCACTCTCTCTATGATCTGGTGCGCCTTCATGACCTCGACGGGGTCCGGGTGGGGCCACGGCCGGACCTGGATCCCGTGCCGGCCCACCGCCATGGGTGGCGTCGACTCATTGAACGGGGCTTGGCTCGGGTTCAAGAGAAGGACAATAGGATCGTCGGCGGTTATTTTGGTAGTGGCACGAAACATTGGCGAGTTGGAAAAGAAGAGGAAGATGAGCAGCCGAGAGAAACGGAACCCGAGCACGAGGCTGCCGAGGCAGCACACGGCGTGGACCGCCAGCCAGAAGACCGTCGCCGACGACTTGGAGGAGTCGAGCGGAGATAGTCCTCCTCGGAGGGGGGCGCTGCTCTGGCTGTCGGCATGGCTCTGCCGCATTGCCAAGAGCTTCATCCTCTCCTCTCTCTCTCTATCTCTGTCTCTCTCTTCAGAGCAAGCTGATACATATTAAGGGTGTATGAGAAGGTTGGAGCTGGGAGGGAGGGAGGTGGTGGGGTGATGGTGACGGGTGATGGAGACGGTGGTTGAGGTGATGTTGCCATCCAATGATGTCCATCACAACGGAGGAATCTTTGGGTTGAAGAAGCAACTGCACCCGAAGTCTTACAAATCTTTGTTTTCTCGTTTCTTACCAACTGCAGAAACGAAAGCGGAGGATGCAGCGAGGTCGACGTGAGGAGATTATTGGGTGGTGACTGGTGGTCGCTCTTGGACAAGGAAGATGAGAGGTCGCGCTCTCCCCGCCGGATGGTGCGGACCGGAGCCATTAAAAAACATCCCCGTTCTTGAAACATACAGCACGGCTCCGATGACAGATGAATTTATTCGAAATTGATAGGTTATTGGCTCGTTTTCACTCGTTTTAAAATGAAAAAGCTTCTCAGAATCATGTTCGGTATGAATACGACTGGCATGACATGAATTGCTGAGTAACTCAGAGAAAGGCGGAATTCCATGAGGAGGTTAGATGCACGGTCTATTTTGTCATATGGCTCGGGCCGAGTATCATGCTTGATTCCAAACGGTATATATCAAGGCGGTTGGTTGTTTGGATACCGAGGAATAAGAAGAAGTCTTATTGGCTAAATGTTGTTGAGCGATCTTCTTCTCGTGGGGCACTTCTATGAATCTCCAAGATCGGATCCTCGAGGATCGTTGACCATTGGATCGTGCAACTTTTTAGTGAAAACTTGTGAAGTATTTGTGAGGTACAATATTTTGTCGTGCAATATTTTATTTATGAGGTAGAATAACATGCAATTGAATATGACACTTTAGGACGGTTGATAAGTTTTTCGAAGGATCATAGAAATTCCCTCTTTTTATTTGCCTCCGCTAAAAATCTAAAAGGATTAAAAACTATCCGGTCATTACTATTTTGCTAATAAAATTTTTCATTTTTTGCGGCATTAAATATACATACGCGTGTATGAAAAAATTCACTCGTGAAAGATTAAGGAAAACCACCTCATTACTAAAGAACCATTAAACAATGAAAGGAAACGCAATCAAGTATTAAAACTTATCATAAAAGTGCAATCGAGTCCTAAAACTTTAATAAAATGTAATCAAGTTCTAAAACTTGTCACGAAAGTGTAATGGAATCTTAAAACTTTCAAAAAGTGCAATCAATGAAAGGATTTGATTGGACAAATTTGACTAGTTTAAGGAGTTGATTGCACTTTTTGAAAATGTTAGGACTCGATTGCAATTTCATAATAAATTTTTAGGGCTCAATTGCACTTTCGCGATAAGTTTTATGATTTCTAACGAACTTATCTATATGTATGTTGAGGACGTCGGGGGAAGAAAAAAATGGTTAATATTCTTGAAAAGCGAGAGACTATTTTTACTTCATATGATAGTATAGATAGTATAGATTATTCGATTGATGATGATTTGATTTTTTAATAACCGCACAATTATCTCCAATTCTATTTGCCTTGTCAATATAGATTCGCTTGATTTTGAAGCGTACCGCGGACAACAAGCCATTCCACAAGACTTTTAAATCTAAAAATCATTTTATATTTTCACAGGACAATTAAGAAGTGTCACATTTTTTATTCCGTTTTTTTTGCAAAAAATGAATAATTTGAAAAATATTTTTTTAGAAATGATCGATTATATTGTTTAAAATAATTAGATAATTATCGATAACAATATATACTTAAACACTTTCGTAGGCGAAAAAAATATTTTTTGTTTATTTATTTTTATAGATAATATAAGAAAATACTTTTAGAATTTTTTTAAAAATTATTTATTTTTCGCGAGATGAGTGCACTATTTTCTTATTTTTTTTTCTATTATACCTTTGCATATGATACAAGAAAAAGTAATGCGTTGAAAATTCGTTATATAATCTTTGGTAAACATGACTTGGAATCTTATTTCCCTCGAAAAGCCAACTTCTCCGTTCAGATTCGTCGTAGGAAGGAAACCCTTGCGCAACGGCCTTTACAGAGCGCCAGAGGCGGCGGCGATGGGCGGCCTCATCTTCGCCCCCGTCGCCCGCCCATGAAACTCAAACCCTACCGCTTCAACCCCTCTCTCTTCCCCGCCGCCAGAGCCCCTCCGAGACCCTCCATGGCCGCCTCTTCCCTCGCTCAAACCTCCCCCGATTTCCACACCTCCGCCCCTCCCGAGCCTCCCCAAGATCTCGACGACGTCCTCTGCTCCGACCCACAATCCCAAGACCATGAACCGACCGACGACGCTCCGCCGTTTTCCGGTGGCTCGCCGGGCCGGTGCTTGAGCGCCTCGTCGAGGGCCGAGCGCGCGTGGGCTCACTGGGCGAAGCTCGGCCGGCCGAAGCTGATGGTGGCGCCGATGGTGGACAACTCCGAGCTCCCGTTCCGGATGCTGTGTCGCAAGTACGGCGCCCAAGCGGCTTACACGCCCATGCTCCATTCCAGGATCTTCACTGAGAATGAGAAGTACAGGAGCATGGAATTCACCACCTGCAAGGTAAATCTTGTCAAAGTTGCTTTTTTTTGGGTTGTGATGCCGTGGTTTCTTGCTGCTCCATTGCTCTGTGTAATTTGTTCCGTTTTGTCTGGGTTGGAATGGGATTTAAGTTGATTCTGTCTTCGGGAGAGAACATTAGATAACACCGTTGATTGCAGTTTGGACTTGCTTAAGCTGGCTTAAGTTGGTGACTGGGTGGAGGCTGATTAAGGTGGTTGTAACATGGTGGAGCATTCATGTAGATGTTTTGTGTTGACTTGGTAAGAGCTGTTAGCTCTAGTGCTAAAGAGCTGCAATCAACTTGACTAAAATTGGCATGGCTCTTCGAATAGGCAATTAGAAATACGATTAAAGAGGTGGTTCCTTTGTAATCTCTCTATCATGATGTGCTCAATGTATCGCTGACTTGATTGTTGATGAGAATATCTTGTTTTCTTTTGAGGAATGTAAAAGCAGATAGGGTGTTCATAGCCTACCTAGTCTTAATCTCTGTTTATCCACGGGGGCCGGCCCATCTATATTCTATAACATGTGTCGAGACTGTGTGAAGTGCGCTCATGTTTTTTTTTACTATCAGAGAGGAGTATGTTCAATCTTGAGCTCATCAACCATCATTTTGCTTAAGAATGATGGTCCAATTTCGAACAAGGATATTCTTAATATTGTTCTGTTTGCGGATTCTGGTGATGATATGTATTTGTAAAGATGGTTCTCTCCATTAGTATTTTTTTGAATAGGGTTATTCAGAATGAACGGCTTTTGTTGTTTAAAAGAACCAGGAAAATCATTTAAGGAACCATTTCTTGTGCACTTCTTTTCTTTGCACCAATACTCTTCTCAATTCAATTCTTGTTGGAATAACAAGGGGTACAGATGGTATAGGGCATGGATCCCCCGTGATCCTTAGATCCATTCCTTGTTTGGGGTAGTTTGGAGGGGCACGGGAAAAAGATACATTTCTCGTTTTGGGGGGAGATGGTATTTGGCTTGCCCCACCCTATTCTTCCTACTCTTTCACAAATCCACTTCCAAGAAACCCTCATCCACGAGCGCCTCTTCTGCTCAATGTGGCAACCCACGCAAAGTAGAACTTCATCGCAAGTCTTTAATTCACTGGCCTGCATTTTTTCTAAGAATGATGATCCAATTCAGAACAAGGCCAACATTATTTTGTATGCAGATTCTGGCGACGGAAGTGGTATACTTGAGGAGATGGTTCTTTCCCCTTACTTGTCTTTTTACTAGGGTTATTTTAATGGATGGCATTTGGGGTTAAAGAACCCGGCAAATCATTCAGGAGCCATCGCTCGTGCGCTTCAATTTATATTTTTGGCTGAACCATCGAAGTACATATAATGTGACAATGGGCTTCATTCTGAAGTTCTTTGGCTTTGATAAACTTTTAGGTTTTTAATTTCTATTAAAAGAGCGTATACACATGGAACTTGTTCTTTGGAATTGGCTATATTGCCAGTATATATTGTGTAGTGGAGAAGATATCTCTATGTTATTGGCGAATATCCAGTGGACTGCTCCTGCAGTCAATGTTTAAAATTGTCATGGCTTTTTGGAATATTTTGGGAGTTCTTAGTAATGAAGAGTTGGATCTTAGTCTATCTCTCAGTGTGACATACTTGAAGGTTTCCGAGCTTAATTAACCATACATCATATCCTATCCTGCCCTGAAAATGGATATCTAATGCTTGGATCTATTAATTAACACCCTCTTATTTGTTTTGGTCCTTAATATGTGACAATAATTCACTTCATAGAAATCTGAAAACTTATCTGACATCTTTTTCCCAAAAACTGATCTGACATTGGAATGTATTTGATTTGAACAAAAGAAATATTGCATTTCATTGCCAAGGCCAATAAATGGCTTTTGCTGCTGGTCTGTATTAGAGCATCATGTCTAGCTTCGACATTCATCTGCATCTTTGAATCTGCTGTTATTCTAATTCTGTTCCAGTTTTTGTGAGTATCACTTAAGATCAACGTGTAAATCGCATGCTAATTTGTTTGATTTATTATTTTCAGCGTGTTTCATGCAAATGGATTGAGGTTTTTTAGTTGTGACTGATTTTAGACAACTTTTGATGATTCATACAACTCTTCTAGAATGAAGAAGCATATATTGTTTATTTGTCAGTCCGTCTTGTAATGTAATTTTTCTGTAAATCCTTTGAATTGGCAGGAGGATCGCCCATTATTTGTTCAATTTTGTGCCAATGATCCAGACATTTTGTTGGAAGCTGCACAAAGAGTGGAACCTTATTGTGACTATGTTGATATAAATTTGGGGTAAGATTTGATCCATCATCTTGACACCTACATGGACATGTTTACATGTGTCAATTTATCGCAACATGATATATTTTTAATTAATGTATCATATTGACTGGTACACACTGAAATCAGTAAGCATATCATATGTTATCACTGAAAGGATTTTTCTCTGATTGCATTAATGTACATAAGAAATTTGACTGATTTAATTGACTAACTCATCTTCTGAAGCATTTTTTTTACGGTCTTTTGCTCAATATATTGCTGACCGTCTTAGCCCTTATTGAGTGTCACACCATAGTCACGATCCAATAGGATGTGATACCTGCTTGATTGTGAAAAAGTTTTGAACGAATTTGGAAGATCATTTAAGAGGGAGATAAAGTGGGGCTTGTCTTAGATTGTGCATCCTGTAGGCTATTATGCAAGGAACAACTGATATTATGTGTTATATCATAAAAATGAGTTGGTAATTTTGCACTCTGTAGGTGCCCTCAGCGTATTGCTAGGCGAGGAAACTACGGGGCATTTTTGATGGATAACCTTCCTTTGGTAAAATCCCTAGTACAGAAGCTAGCCCTCAACTTGAATGTTCCCGTTTCTTGCAAAATCAGAGTCTTCCCGAAATTGGAGGATACACTTAACTATGCCAGGATGCTAGAGGAAGCTGGATGCTCTCTTTTAGCTGTCCATGGACGAACGAGAGATGAGAAAGATGGGAAGAAAATTCGTGCTGATTGGTTGGCAATAAAGGCTGTAAAAGACGCTCTAAGCATACCAGTCCTTGCCAATGGAAACATACGGCACATGGATGATGTAGAGAGCTTGTTAAAAGAAACCGGAGCTGATGGCGTGCTTTCAGCAGAGTCTCTCCTAGAGAATCCAGCTCTCTTTGCAGGGTTTCGAACTGCTGACTGGATAGTTGGAAGTGAAGAAAGCCACAAAGATGGACAGCTGGACCAGGCAGAGTTACTGGTGGAGTATCTCAAGTTTTGCGAAAAATATCCTGTCCCGTGGAGGATGATTCGTTCTCACATGCACAAGATGCTGGGAGATTGGTTCAGGATTCATCCGCAGGTGAGGGACGAGCTCAATGCACAATCTAAACTGACCTTTGAGTTTCTTTACGGTCTGGTTGATAAGCTTAGGGACTTGGGACTAAGAATCCCATTATATGTTAAAGATGCGGATCTAGAAAGGATCTCAGCGAATGGTTCTGCCACTTGATCATTTTTTCGAATATTAAGCTGTAGCGGCACCAAAGTTGGGCCTGGTTTTTTAACTTTACTGTCTCTGTCTGATTATTTTTGTGCTATGCTGGCCAAAATGTTTTTCAAGGCCACAGGCACACATGGAAAATAGAGGTCCCTCTTTCTTTCACGGTGAAGTGAGCATGTCACGTAGAGAAAGTTTTGTTGTGGGATATATTACTGAAAACGTCGCTTATTGTTCAGTTGAACTTACCTTGTATTAAGTGCAGGCTGCTTGTGGTGTTTCTCTGGCTAAATTAATGTAATATCTGGGGTTCCAAATAGCCTAAGGGCATTTTAACGGGTCATCTCCATTCCATGTTATGGGTGCCCATCTAGTGGTGAGAGTTTTCTTGTCCCTTTTTGATAGATTGGGTTTTCTCTAATTGTTTTGGTTACTCGATCTTGGGATGCTCCTTCAAGCATCAGCAAGGAGAGCGAAACCATTTCTCTTACTTCAAGGCGCATCCTGGATATTTTTGCTAGTGGTTTGGAAGAGGGCTAAGCAATGAGTGCACATTAAGATGGGTGTTCATGACTCACCGGCCTGCTTTATTTTGGTAGATGCTGCAATTCATTCTGAAATGGATGTGGTCCAGCTGATGCGTAGCATTCAAGAAAGGAAAACCTGTCTTGCTTTATATACACATCATACAATTTATAAGCCTTTTTTGGTCAATTAACTTGACTTCTTAGGTCATCTGTTAATTTAGGTAAGCTTTAGATCCTTGGATATTTTAATCTCTCCTGGCATCTACAGTTATATAGTCATGCCTTGGGACTCTGCACCTTTCTGTTTTTGCACGGAATAAGAACTGAAATGTTTGGAGGAAAGCAAGCTCTTCTTGACATGGATATGCAAGTGAACCTCATTCAATTGCCGGGACGGATATACTTAGGCTACGTTTGGTAGTCGGGATAAAATTCGGGATAGGATAAATTTTATCATATCTCGTGTTTAGTGCATGCTCAAGATAGGATAAAGTCGAATATGAGGAGGATATAGTCCGGATAAAATTATCTCATGGGGGAGGTGGGATAAAGGTTGATAGAATTTTTAATATCCATCATTATAAAAGTTATTTTTCTCAAATAATAAACTTGTTAAATTAATAAAATTAAAATAATGTTTGAATATAAATAATATTTGAATATAAATAATATTTGAATTTTAATATAAAAAATTCAAAATAACAAAATGATAACAATAAATTCGTTTTTATTTATTCTTATTTTATTTATATATTCAAATTTCTTTTTATCTTATGATAGAAACACATTTGGTATTTATATTTATTACATATTTTAGGCATATTTGTATAGTTTACTATTTAATAAAATTTTATAAAAGAATGATGGAAGGGAAAGAAATAAAAAAGAAATTAATTAAAAAAAGAGAAGGAAAAATAATAAATAAATATAAATAAAAATGAAATAGGTAAGAGTGTCGTGAAAATTTTTTATCATTCCCGTTTGTGCAATTTTTAGGTTCATTTGAACTGATATAATGTTCATAGGAAATAATATATATGGTAATATGTGAAAATATTCGGCTTTATTACTGTGATTCACCAAATAGTAGATATGGTATAACAAATTTCTCGGATTTCATATTCTATCCTATCAAATCTTATCCTGGCTAAAAATTCGGACGACGAAACGCAGTTTATCCCGTGGTGGCTTGTGGTTGCATTTGCAGTTGCAGAATGAAGCTTACCGAGCGATATAGTATGAATACTCGAAGCTCATGTCACAATAAAAACGCTGGAAATGTTCATTGAGAGTTCTCTATACCTTCGCATACTTTTGTAAGAGATAAGAAAATCCTTCAAACGAATGCCAGAGAAGGGTGAACAACTGGAGATTTCAAATGACTGGTGCAATTTGCTTGGCAAAATTTATTTTCCATTCAGGAAAAATAAGGCTTTGTGCGATAAATTATTGACTTTCGTACATCATTTTGATTACGGTGAGCAAATGATGATATACTAGTGAACTGGGTGATGGAGCCGATGAGTGCGGTTACCACAGAAGTGGAAGCTGTTAGGGTCCATCCTCTCCAACACAAAGTGACCAAGCTTCTCAGTTGACTCCACCAAGTTCTCTCTGCACAAGAACTCCTCACTGTATGCCCTCTCCACCTCCCCGCAGAAGTCATGCACAAACACGTGCGTCTTCGGGTTCCCGCCCTTCTTGCTCCTCGCCAGGACCCCTGCTGTGAATATCGCCGACATCCGGCCAGGACCGTTGGGCCACTCCTCGCGGGGCCCGTCCACGAGGATGACGTCCCAGTCCACCTCGTAAGCGTGATTGGGGAGATCGTTGATCGCCAGCTTACACTCGGAGAACAAGAGATTCTGCACGGGCCTGCACTCGTTGCGTACCTGCTCCCTTGTGGAGGCCATGAGTTCCCGCATCTCGCTCATCTTCGTCGTGTACTGGACGTCGTAGGCGTCGATCTCGGGATGCTTTTGCTCGACGTACGCGGCGTAGTAGCGGTTCTCGTCGATGAAGACGGTCCTGCCGTTGTGGTTGAGGGCTTTCCAGAGGAGGGTCTCATGAGTAAGGCCAAAGACTAGGAAGTTGCAAGGGGAGGAGCATTTCCTCAGGACATCCGAGATGGGCTTGAGCTCGGAGTAGGACATGCGGAAAGAGTCGTTGGACTTGGATGAGTAGTGAAGGAGGGTGTTGATGACGGTTGATGGCAGAGGCGCGTTGCTATAGGCAGTCGTGGCAGAGGGAAAGGTGGCGGTGGTGGCGGAGGCAGCGGTCGTGGAATATTCTCTGGTGTAAATGAGGGTGACGACGAAGGCCGTGGTCAAGAAGGAGATGAAAGCGAGGAGCCAGAGGCGGTTGGAGCTTCCTTGCTTCTGGATGTAAGGGTGGAGGAGGATGAGCCTTGTGTTGCTGTTGTTGACATTCTTCATTTTGAGAGAGAGAGAGAGAGAGAGAGAGAGAGAGAGAGAGTTGCCCTCCTCTTGTAATCTTGAAGATTTTGAACTGAAAATGAGGCAGAGACCTCATTGATGATTTAAAGGAGTAAAAAGGAGCTGTAGGTAAATGGAATTTTAAAGAAATGAATCACCATCATAACATATATCATATGATATAAAATATTAGCTAGGCTCATTCTATTATCATCGGAACATGTTGAATTAGCCGCATCGTTCGTTTTTCTTTTTCAATTTTTTTGTGCTCTCGCGTCATGCTACACTTCTAGCACTATTTTTCTGAACAGAGAATGAGCAGAGTCTCATGAGAATAAATTCACGCAATAATATTTAACTATTTCTTTATCAATCTTCAAAAATTAATCAAATGATATGATCAACGCTAGGGTGCGATTTGATTGGTTGCTCTTTCTTATCAATGAAAATTAATGGGGGGGTGAACTTCATTCAACGCTATGTGAAGGAGACCCAACAACAGATTACAAGCCAAGGGTCTCTGTTGCTTCTTTAAGTGGGCTTCGCTTCCTAAGGAACCTCCCCATTTGCCCACAAGCAATTACTTGTTAATAAATATTGTTCCCAATTTTGAATTTTGAGGTGGACATGTCAACTATAGCGGGCTCTATCTTGATAGGAGCGGCGTCTCCACGCAACATTCTTATATTCATATTTAGCCACTTATTCGTTTCGCAAAAAATAAATGATTTGAAAAATATTTTCCTATAAACGATTGCGTGTATCGCGCATAAAAATGAATAGATTAAAATTATTTTCATCGTTCACGAAATTATTTAGACAATTTTTTTCTTTAATAATAAAAATATTTTTCATTGACTAATTATTTCAAGCAATACAAATGATTATTTTTAGGATAAATATTTTTCAAATCATTTATTTTTTGCAAAACAAACGGAGTCTCATTATTTACGGTAATTCCTAATAATTTAAACTTTTGGGCAGGAATCCTTTAACTTAACATGTGAAAGCTTCTATACGTGATTCAATGTGACCAAATTGTATATTTTCTGTGACATGATTGGCTTACAGCGGAGGGCAGTACTTGTAGTGTGCCCCGTGCTGTCCTCTGTATGCTCTCACCAAAACCACCATCGAGGCAGCCTACCTTGGTCTGACCAGTCATTGATTTCTCTGTAACGATGCTAACTTGAATTGTAAGATTTTATTTCTAATAGCAAATTTCTGAACAGCTTGATAACTATTTATTGAATTTGGCTTTCGTAAATTCCTCGAATTGTTGGTAACATACTACGGTAAAAGTGGGTCTACGTTGACAAGTTAATCCTACGATAGTTTACTAACTTCGATTTTATCTGTAATGGCAAATTCCTTACTTTAGTAAAAACTAACTAGTTTGTAAGCGGTCTTTATCAAAAAAAAAAAACTAGTTTGTAAGCGGGCTATGTTGGTAAGTTGCTAATTTCACAACTAAGTTTATGCTTTGAGTGGTAACTTTCTACATAGCAAGTAGATAATTGATATTCCACTTGAAGTTGGTACGTTCTTACTTAAATGACCACTTGCTCCCTTAAAAAAAGGAACTGTGTGGTGTGGGTAAGTTATTAATTTCATTGGGAAACTACAACGTCCACCATCAAGTTTTTGTTTTGAGTGATAAATATATGAAAAAGTTCATAATTAATTATTGCATTGTACATTCGCAAGTTGCTAGGATTGTTGGTAAATTACCATGAGCATACCGGATCAATTGGCCGCCAGTAATATAATTTTATCAACTGGATCTAATATCTACCAGCCATATTAGAAAATTACCACGCTCGGAACATTGTTCCCGGTAGCCAGCAGGTGCAATTGGGATAAAATGATGTGCAGTTCAGTTAAAAGTGATCACTTCTCAAGACTATATCAAGGATACGCTAATGCCACTGAAATCAGGAAACGATACGCAGCTAAGCATGTTGTGCAGGATATGACATGTATAATGAGATCGTGATCCAATTAACAAGGAAATATGAAAAACAAGAACTTACTATGAATGTTGTGTGCCAAGTCACACTCTATCTTACATGAGAGACTTAATTGAACGCAATCTGTTCCTCCGACGACAACACAGATGTCCCGAGGTACCAGGAAACATGTGCCACCTTGAGTTTGTTTCACTGGCTTAATGATTTGCTTCCTTAAGAGCTGCAAGCCTACACGTACTGCAGTCGCCTCTTCCCATTTAATCTGTTTCACTGTCACTTGCTTCCAGTTCCTCTGCATATATTAATGCACTATTGTTCCATCCCAATTTCTCTTCGTATGTTGATTCATCAGTTGCTTCCAGTTTCTCTTTGTACGGCTGTTCATCAGATTCCTCACGTAGTGAAGCTAGATCCACTAACTGATTTTCTTGAAGTACAACCTTCAAATCATCCTCTAGTTGCCTGCATCTTAGCATATATCCCAAATTTTTCATGGTTCCACCCGATACTGTAACTGTAAGACTAAAGCGTAAATAACGCTCCTCGAATTGACCGAAATCAACTACTCCCTCCAACAATCCCCACAGCACATTTGGTTCGAGAATTTGAAACCATGTGTGATCCGAATCAAATGAACCGAGAGTTCCTGATAGCCCATTCCGCCTTTGGCCGTGAAGTTGTGGCACGATGTCAAAAGATATTTCCTTTTCTCCATCTTCTACACTGAAAACAACACAGAGAGACAATCCTATGAACTTATCGTACAATTCCTGTGAAGCCATGAATGAAATGGTACAGTCTTCAACAAGGACGAAGTCCTTTGGCATCTCTCCTCCAGGGTGAACATTTCGGTGATGAGAATCGATATTGGAATAGCGATGCTTCTGTTATATGGGTAAAATGTTAGAAGTACACAAGTTTGTAATTAGTTCAAGAAGAAGAATTTGATTTTGAGCATATTCCTAGTAATTCAACCAAAGCTAGAGGTTCTATAATAATTAGACATATTGATCCTTGCTTGCGTTATATACATTACTCACGCAATAAAAATCATTCCCTAGCAAGTGTTGTGGCCACCACTAATATTAGATTGACATCTCCCTACAATGTAGCTCATACTGTACGAGTGTACTATATAGGAAGTGAAAACGATGGAAAATAGAACAGCATATCCAAGAAATTAATCATCCTAGTCAGACCCGGCAGTCTAATGTTCATTGTTATGTGTTCACTTCAGACATTGCTGATTTTTCAGTACAAACTGTTCTAATTGAATTCCAACTTACTTGCAGCAGACTTAACATTATTAAGATAAATAAAAGCAAAAACTCCTACTTGCACTTATATCAAGGGAAAATCGAAAGGGAAAAACTTCTGCTCTAACTTTACGTAAAAGGAAAATCTTAAATATGATACTCTCAATTAAGTAAATTAAATCAAATTGTCCCAAGTAATCCACATGTGCCGGTTGAAACATGCACCTGGCAGGGTTGCGCGATGGTTCCCTATCGTAATAGCAACTCGTGCACCTTTTCTTCTTCGAGCTTAGTAGATGAAACTAAGTTGTGATGCTCAAAAATAGGAATGTCGATTAGGGTCAGCAATTATTCGATGTTAAAAGTTCATGAAAATCCAACAAGATCTGATTCTCAAAAGAGAGGCTCTTGGGCTTTTATGCCTTTTCGTTTTGTCGCTTTCTACCTCTATTTCGCCCCTTTATTTTGATTATTGTTTTGGTGACTTCGATCTGATTGATTGATGCTGCTTGTCTTCTTTTTCTTTTTATATCAAAGTGAGATTATGGAAATCCAGGGGTGAATTATTTGCTTAGTCCGTTATACTATAGAATGATGTTGAACTTATTAAAATTAAATCACAAAATGTGTATATTAAGTAATTTTTTATGTTTTTATTTAAGTGTTTAATATAACGGATTATTTAATGGTCTACTATCACTTTCTTTAATACAATTATCATTACTCTACAATATAATCATGTAGCTGTTATTTCAATTTGCCCTTTCATTGCTACAATCACGAGACTTTGGCCACAACAATGATTAGAGATATGCTCACCCTAAAGACATAAACAAATAATACTGGCTTAATATTATAGCGTACTAATTCTTTGCAAAAAAAAAAAATTAATCCAAATCCACAAACAGAACACACCTAAGCGTGAAAAAATTCTCATGTTGAATTATTAAATTATTGGCGTTGTGCAGTTTTATCTTGATCCATAGAGTTGATCTCATCCTATTAATGGTGTTGGTTGTTAAGAACTCGGGTCCACTGTTTGTTAGATTTTCTAAGAACATTTATTTTTCAATATAGGAATTATGAACATTGGGCCTCTATCGTTGCTTCATTGTTAGATTTTGTTTGGCTTTATATATGTATAGAGTCACTTTACATGTGTCTAGTGTTTTTCAGATTTTCTATACAAACAGATTTTAAACATTTATTTTTTATATATAGGAATTAGAGAACATTGTGTCATTGTGAGATTTTATTTAGCTTTATATATTTATAGAATCACTTTATATCAGAGAGTTTGAGTGTCTAGAATTTTCAGCTTTTGCATTATAGAGAGAGAGTGCGAGAGAGAGAGAGAGAGAGATAGAGAGAGAGATACCTCAATTGAGAAGTCAGCAATGTTCAATCCTTTGTCGACTAAATCGCTTGAACCATCTTCCTCGGTACTCGTTTGACTATCTTGTAAATCTTCTGTTTCACTTATTGGACGTTCTTCCTCTAAGCTTGTTTGACTATCTTCATACCCAACTTCGTAAAGTAAAGCTGGATCAAGCAATTGATCATCTTGAAGCAAAACCTCCAAATCATTGTCTAGTGGCTTGCATATTAGTCGGAATCCACACTTTTTCACAATTACTCCGCCATCTGGACATCTTCTTAATCTAATGCTAACTTGAAAATGACTCAAGTCATTTGGACCAAAATCGTCTACGCTCCACAAACGCTTTACTTTGTAATAATCAAGCCACACATGATCCAAATTAGACGACGTAAAAACCTGATTGTGAACCTCACCTCGTTTGCCATTAGCGAGTGCTTCAACCCAAAAAGAGAAATGCCTATTTTTTTCTGCTCGGAATACAACACAGAAAGCTACTCCTAGGAACTTTTTATATAAGTCCTTTGAAGCCATGAAAGATATATAACCCTCTTTATTAGGGAGCAACCACTTTGGCATCTCTCCTCCAGGTAGAACAACTTGCCGAAATGCTTTGCAATGAAAACTCTGTCATAGATGTAGATTATTGTTAGATAGTTTTTCGAAATGGGCACCTAAAAAGAGGAGTTTCAGTGAGTTAAATGGGTAGTCCTAGAGTTTAGATACAGGTACCAACAATATTACAAAGATAATTTTGTACTTAATTAGTAGAAACATGACAGAGAGAGAGAGAGAGAGAGAGAGAGAGAGAGAGAGAGAGAGAGAGAGAGAGAGAGAGAGAGATATTAAGAGAGAGAGAGAGAGAGAGAGAGAGAGAGAGAGAGAGAGAGAGAGAGAGAGAGAGAGAGAGAGAGAGAGAGAGAGAGAGAGAGAGAGAGAGAGAGAGAGAGTCTAACCTCAAGCTTGAACAAATCATTCACGGAGAACCCATTACGGACCAGTTCATGACATGAAGTTAAGTGAACGACCTTAACATCACGTATGTTGGAGGGAATTCTACTTAGAGATTCGCAATTAATTGCGCCTAGATATATCAATTTCCCTGGAATCTTGGGGATCTCTTGTAGTTGTTGGCAATAAGAAACATCCAAATGGTACAAGTAACATAGTCGCTCGCATGTAGGAATGTTAGTAAAATTGTTTCCATGCAATTCTAAATATTGTAAGCGGGGAAAATTGGAAAGATTCTCCAAAAACTCTACTTCTGATAGATTGCATCCATTAAGGGATAAATTGTGCAACTTTGGAAATCCTGTCTTCGTATGGGGATCACCCGGATCCTCCTCGTCCTTTGGAAACTTGATTAGTTTTGAGCAGCCACCAAGCCACAAGGCACTAAGACTTTGTAACTTGTAAATGCTAGACGGAATGATTGCCAGTTTCTTGCAGTTTTCTAAATACATATGCTTCAAAGAGACAAAATTTTCAATGGACGCAGGAAGTTCCTCAATTGAAGTCCCATTTAATATAATTTCACGTAAGCTTTCATTTTTATCAGGAATATCAGGGAATCTTCGCAATTTAGAGCACCCCTTTAAATCCAATAACTGTAACTTGCGATGATATGCAACTGATTCGTGGACATGCTCCAAGTTTTGGCACCCACAGAGATTCAATTTCTCGAGAATTGGAGTACAAGAGAGGTCCGGCATACAAACCAGCAACTGGCATTCGCTGAGGTTAATGAATTTCAGTTTTTCAAAGCCCTGCAAGAACAATGAATCCAACTTCTATTGACATACGGGACGAACAAAACAAAACCGAGATAAATATTCAATTCCAAATCTGGCTATGATTTTTTAATAAAAATCACTAGATCATGATTCAAGCCACAGGTGATCAGAATTCACTTGATCTTATGTTGTACATAGAGCACTCCCTCTCCCTTTTTAAATATGAATTTAGTAAGTAATCATTGTACTTGGCCAAAAGAAAGGAAAAAAAATAAAATAATAATAGTCGTAATTCCACCGCAGACACTAGTGGCGTGGCCACTTCCACTACGTATAAGTGCAGAAACAATACTTGTAATTCAGAGACTGTGTAACGTCAAGTACGTGGGAGAACATGAGCCATAGTCAATCCTTTGCCAACTAATTCATCACCTGAATTTAAGCTAACATCTGGAATCTCATGTAGAGATTCGCAACCACCCGCCTGTAGATACCGCAGAGGCGGTGGAAGGCCGGGAATCTCTTCTAGTCATCACTTATTGGTTTGGATTGTTATTACGGCTTGTTTTTGGTTTGTAATGAATTCTATGGGATTTTATGTCTAAATATTTGTTGGTGCTGACAAAAACGGGGAGAAATATGCAGATGTGATTGTGTCTTGATATGCACGATAAAATTTTGTTGTGCAGGATACAAAGAAAAGAAGACAAACTGTGGCTTAGATTTTGTTTGATTCAGATCTTTACTAATGCAGATTTTGTACCTTACCTTTAGAGTATAAATATCTCATATCAAATCACTATGATTAAATAGAATATCTCGAATATCTGCTCAAATACATGTTTGATCTTTTTTTTTTTTTATCAAAATTATCTCAAAATTTATATATCTACATAGAAAGTTTTGTCCCCATAAAGAAGGGGGAGATTGTTGAGAAGACTTTTTAATAGATTTTGAAGTTGACAAAAGTATCGATGTGTTTTATAAGTCTAACAAATGTCTTGAAGTATTTTGATTTAGGAAGTTATTTTGGAAGAGAATATATGACAATCTCAACATGTTCAAGTTCAGATTGTGGAATTTGTTTCAAGAAAAAGAGGCTCAGGCTTTAGACTCAACTAAAGAACTTCATACTTTATATGAAGAAGTTTCAGAATCAGAGAATAACTTATGTTCTCATCCTGACATAAGTTCAGAACGTAATTCCATAACAAAGTTCAGAATGTAAGATCAAATCATGACACAAGTTCAGAACATACATAACAGCTAGCGATCTGGCTTGAATTTCACATTTAGAAAGTAATGATTGACTCAATGTTGAAGATTGTTTTGTAATGGTTTAATATGCAAAACATCTTAATTGATTAGTAAATCAATCTCTAGACAAGTCACTTTCCAAGCGATTACGAATACCGAGACTTTGGTTATATGGGCGACTAGATTCAGCGGAGGCTCAGATTTTGTCCCTCAACGGCTACTCTACCTTCTTAATACAAATCTGTCCATCATGGAGATTGGAAGATGATCCTCTAAATACTATCCAACGGCTAGATAGGAAGTGGGGGACCATAAAAGGAGACCAAGGTGCCGAGGAGTAGAAGCAAGAGACAAAATTCAGAATCTACAATTCCAAAGTCTGAGCATCCTCTAAACATCTATACTTGTCTTTTGTGTGCCAAAATTTGTGATTTTGAGAGAAGTACTGAAAGAGTGATTGAGTGAGATAATGAGATCATCCAGTGCCAAAATTCATATGCTGAGTGTTATCAATCAAAATTGTAATCTCTTGTTGATCATCTAGTGGAATCCAGCCAGTAGGCTGTTAGCGTGAGAAAGTGGACATAGGCTTAATCTAAGCCGAATCACTATACATCTTGTGTACAGATTTTCTCATCCCTTAAAGCTCCTCCTATTTATTACTTTCTATTACACATTTGCACACTTGCACAATTGCTTTCAAAGATTGATAAAAATCTGAACATTGCACTTTAATAGATCAGACTTTGTTCTTGATATTTTGAATTCCGCTTTAAATTTATTAAGAATTGTTTAAATTACATATTCATCCCTCTCTAGGTGATCCTTGTTAGCCACCTGATTAAGTGTATGCACAAAATTGATCCTTGAAAAATTGAGCAAAACCACCAATTTAGAAATATTTAATAGCAATAAATTGTTGATAAAATACACAATACAAAGAAACATATTAATGTACGTGGAAAGCAAAAGATATTTCAAAATTCTAATAAAAAAGTTGTTGACAGAAAAAAATTGAAATTTTGATATCGAAACATGTGAGAGATCAAATAAACTTACTAACTTAGGCATTTCTCTATGGATACAACATTTGCAAAATAAGTAATTGACTACATTTTAGGGAAGAAAAAAAATGAAATACCATCGAAGGTCCTTTTTACTTTATATAGTAGTATGGATGATATGAATATGAATATAATTACACATACATACTTACATATATAACTTACTTTGTGGAGCTACCAACATGTGAAAAGTTACCAATGTGTTGAACTTACATAGGCATTTTCTATGGATACATCATATTTAACTAAAATATGATGGGCTGTCCTACATGTGAAAAGTTAGTGGCAAAGTTTGGGAGATTTCTCGTGTATATAATTGGGAGGTCTGAGATTAGTAATCGATTAATTTGGTTGAGTGTTGTTATCTATTGTCCCGCACAGACCGGATAATCTCTGGAGTAGCCCTAAGAGAATACTCATGTGTCGGATGAACATAAAAACCAAGTTGCTAACATGATATATTTAACGTCAAAAATTGAATAAGCATGGTGATATGTAGGATAGGTGCGGGGTAAGACCGGAGATTGAGTCCCGAGCCAACCGAAAGGTAAGATATTATAGTTCTAGTGGTAGCAACAACACGCAAAAGCATGCCCATATCATATTCATTTTGCATTTTTTCAAAATTCGATGAGACCTTAGGAACTTAATCTTTTGAAAACTCAATTTCTATTTGAGGATGTATGCTCAATTGGCCGGACACGATACACCCTGTAAGTACTTGTGCACGTGTTTGATATTCTGCATTTGATTTCTCGTTGATGATTAATGTTTGTTTGTTCTCGCTCGTTGATTCCACGTTTTATTAAAAGAACCTTAAATTTTATTTGAGTGAGTTACCATAATTTATTTTATTGTTTCAAAATGACCAAATTTTATAATGAATTAGCAACATTTGTTTTCTGAGCTTACTGAAATGTAAAATTTACTATCTTTTGTAAAACTACCTACTCTTGTTTGAGTCCTTTTACCAATGTTTATTTGATTTTTGGAATTACCAACCTCTTTTCAATACTGCACAAATATTTATTTGTTCGAGTTACCAATGTGTTAAATTTACAATTTTTTTAGTATATCACCAATTTTTATTTGACTCACTACGAATGTTTTTTCTAGTGTTTTGAAATTATCAACTGCTGTAATAATCTATGAACGTTTATTTGCCAGCTTACTTACTAACATGCGACACACAAAATAAATTGTCGATCAAAATTTAGTTACCAACGATTTTGAAATTTACAACACTTTTAAGAAATTACTAGCATGAAACAATATTATTTTTTTTCCCACACGGTTATGCTAGAAATTTGCATTACATAATGCTGCTGGTACTTCTTTAGAATTGAGTTTAACTAATTAAAACAGAATGATGACTTTTTTTTTCTATAGGTTTTTTTTTGTACTTAAATAGAATATAGCAGTTTTCTAATTTTTCTAACATAAGATGGAGCAAGCTCCATCACATTGATATAATTGTTGATTCACTTCGAATTCGTTAATTTCATTATGACATTCAAACATTTTATCTAGTACACTACGTGAAACTTAACAAGTAAAGGAGATTTACCTACCATCCAAAGAGTTTTAAAGACCTGGCTTCGCAATTCTCTCAAGGGCAGGATCTTTAAAAACATTTAGACTATTACCGACTATATATCAAAAACCTACAAATCAAATAAAACATTTCATGGTATATCTTAAGCACATTCAGCGTTTAGATGATATATTACATCCTAAGAAGTTTTTGTTTCAATTTTCAGCTCAAAGTCATGATGGTTTGAGCTCAATTTTGGCCATTTTCATATATGCCTGAATTTTTTTTACTTTTCATCCCTTTAATTTTTTAAATAAAGTCTTTATACTTTTCTAATCGAGTCCTATTTACAAAAAATTGTCTAATCAAGTCTCTCTAGTATCAAATCTAGCCAAATTTAGCTGACGTGGCCATTGAACGATCCCGTAGTGTGATACGGGTTAAGTATCGCACATGCATGGGCACTCTTAGAATTAGCTTGAAGCGAAAGTTAGTCAAACAGCTTATGGCATCTCCCACCATTCAACATCCATAGGGGGTTTCACGTAGGCAATATTCAATCCATGTCACACTCTAGCATCCTCCGATGGTCACGTCGATTGAATTTGGCCGGATTTGATGTCGGAGAGACTTGATTATACAATTTATGCAAGAAAAATAACTTGATTGGGAAAATTAAAAAAACATGGACTTGATTAGAAAAGCAGTCGAAGTGCAAATAGATTGATAGCCTGCATTTGTTGCTTCAATATGTGTATAAAGCATAAAATCATTGTAGCTATTTTCCTAAGGACAATATTATCATCAGATTTAATACTTATAGTTATAAGTAATGAAAAAACGGATCAAATAAATGCGCACCTTAAATTGTCCCAGCCCTACTTCGATCTTGCTATTCCGCATATCAAATCCAACTAACTCCTTTAGACCATCTCTAAATTCTGGAATCGAGGCACAATGAGGCCATTCCAACCACCTTAACTCATTAGGGAGATGGATGGGACCTTGGAAAGAATTATCTACATTACGTAGGATGAGCAACCTCAACTTTCTCATGTTTGTGAAAGCATGAGGATGAATATACATCTTCTGTGGCTTTGGTAGCCTCAAAACTATGGCTTTTATCGCAGATGTTCCCTGTATATTTATTCGAATATATTTAGGTTACTTTGTAACTATAGCAAACAAAGTCAAAGATAATAATAGAATATGAATTCTTATACACTAACAAGTCTTACCACACTTCTTGATAGAACATCAAGAACATCATCGTGAATCCATAACCTACTGCGTTTGCCGGGATCATCTCGACATTCTTCCTTAACAATATCCATACCCATTGATTGTATTAAGTCATGCATTTGTAAGGTCCTATACTCTTTCCTAATCAAGGAGCGCTCAATGAGAATTTGTACCCCAATAGTCGTGTCAAAGTCACAACTATCAAGAACTTTCTTAATGTACTTTGTATTCTGCCCCTTGAAGAAACATGCAATGTCGAGAAAAATCTCCTTTACATAGTCCTCCAATCCATCATAACTCACCTTTAGCACATCACTGATTTTTTTGTCAGGACTTTTGGAAAGTTTCCGCAGGGTACTTTTCCATTCATGTTCTCTTCTACCACATAAGAAAGAACCCAACACCTCAAGTGCCAAAGGAAGGCCTCCGGCATAATGTAAAACCTTATCAACAAGATTGCTTCTGATTTCTATTTTTCGATTTCCTAGAAAAGCATGCTTCCTAAAAAGTTCAAGAGCTTCACCATTTTCGAGAGCTTTTACTTCATACATATGATCACAGTCTAACCCATGAGAAGTTAGCAGATGCCTATTTCTTGTTGTAATAATTATCCTGCTTCCTTGACCAAACCACTCACAATTTCTGGCTAAGGCATTTAACTGGCATTGATCGTCGACATCATCAAGGATAATGAGAGCTTTCTTATTACAAAGTCTATCTTGAATCAACCGACTTCCTCCACCAACGCTGTAAATTGTTAATTTCTTCACAAGTAATACCTCCGATAGCAATTTTTCTTGCAAAAGAACCAAATCATTGGAATTTTTGGAGTTTTCTCTAACACGTTCCAAGAAACTAGAACCTTGATACTCTCTAAACACAGTGTTGTAAATGGCTTTAGCAAGGGTTGTCTTCCCTACACCTCCTTGTCCCCATAATCCTACCATAAGAATATCATCCTTGGACTGTAGATTTAAGATTGTTTTAAGCTCTTGTACTCGAGAATCTATCCCAATCGGATATTTGGCTACATCTAATGGAGTTCGATCTAGTTGAGTTGAGATCTCCTGTACGATATGTTTTATAAGCACCGCTTCATATCTGACAAGGGAAAATTAGTTGAAACTGCTTTTAGAGAAATCCAAAGAAATGAATAAGTGTTCAAAGAGAATCGATGAGTAAGAAACTAGTCCACAATATATTTGGAGATGAATGTCAAAATGTGTTCAACTAGTATGCATGGCTCTAAGACTACAATTTTCATGTTATTCTTAATGCTTTGTATTAATGTATTTTGCATTTATTAATGATTCAAGTTAATCATTGGATATCCTGAATGTTGGTCGGTATTGTCTTGATCTCTTTACAAAGTTCATTGAAATGGGCTTGATTTTCCTTCAATTGTGCAAATGCCTGCCCAATAATGTGGTATTTTCTAGTGATGAAAATTAACAACCGTGAAGTCTAAGTTAACATTACCAATGGGTAAATCCCAATAAAGATTAAGTACTTTACCCTTTGGTACGATTTTATTCCCATTTTCGAAAGTGGACAAACAAAGATACGTTCTTTGGCCATTTGGAAAAATATGGCCTACTGTTGTTTCCTGTAGAAATCTATCTCGTTATTACCTTTATGCTCTTTACAGCTTCAACTTTTAAAAAAAAATAAAGTAAACATTTCTAATGAATAAAAGAGGTTGATAGGATACCGCATTTATCTTCTCCTATGCATAATGGCTTACATAATGAAGTGAATACTCTCTTGACAAAATTTCTCGCTCAAGAAAATGACTATGTCGATACAAAAGATGAAGAAATGCTATTGCAAGAGAGGTGTCTTTATTGGTCAATGTAAGGCTCGATGTAAATGAAACAGAGACTAATTTAAAGAAGCCTGAGGGACAAGCTTCAAATCAAGTCCTTGAAGTTCAAAAAATGTAGCAAGAAAAGGTAACACCATTTTGGATCCCGTAAAAAGAACAGAATAAAGGTGAAGGTGAGCATAATGAGACTAGTAAGTTAGCCCAACAACCTTCAGCAAATTTAGGATTGGCTGAAGAAGATCCAATACCTAGGGGTGAGCATCAGCTGGGAATCGAACTCAACTGGCGCTGTGCAATCTGGTCCAGTCCGATTCCCACGAGACACGATCTAGTCCTCGGTCCCATAACTGACACTGTGCGGTCTAGTTCCAAGATTAGGGTGTTGAACCGGACCGATCCTGAACTTAACTATTGTTGAGTGATTAACCAATGTTTGTTGTTTGGTTATGTTCAAGTGGTTAAAATTTGGAGTACCTTTCTATGGATGAATTAGGAATGAAGTTCTATAATTCATGTTTTATGTTACGTGTTTTAAATTTTTTAATATTTATATTTTTAAGTGTTCATCTGCTATGGGTTATTGCTTTTGGCAAGTGGATATTTCTGTTGTTACTTTAGCTTTCATTTTGCTTGACTGAGGGATGAATTGGATAGTTCCCTATTACTTTAGTATTTTTTTTAATTTGTAATGGCGATTTGCTTCTCGCCATTTTGTTGCTCGGTATTATGATTGTAAATATTGTGTCTTGATGGATAAGTACTTTCAAAGAGTAAGTATGTCCTTTCAAGGGATAAAAAATGAAACCAAAAAAAAGAAAAAAGAATCGTTCCGTTCCTGGGTTGACCCTCAACAGGACCAAACCCACAAGCTCGGTCCCCGGTCCCAAAATCTGCAAATGGAACCTGTGCGAGTAGGTTATAGGTCAAACCTTGGAATTGCTCATCCTTACCAATACCTATTAAGGATTGAATATTTGATGAGTTTTAACGGCGAAAAGGACTTTATATAAGCCCGATTATCCACATAAAACAAAATCATTATTTGTTCAATGGAGAATCCATTAAGGCCTATGGTTAGTTATTGGTGCTTTTCTTAACCTTGAAAGTGAAAAACATGTGTTTGTTAGGATAGATGAATGAGTCTCAATCATTCGTATGATAACAAATGCAGGAGGATATAGTCCAAATATTGCGTATCAAGCATGCGAAGCCACTTTTGTACGTAACACTCAGAAGTTTTGGAAATTCTTATTATCTCAAACAGATTTTAAGGGATAAAATAGACAAGAGCTTGTTGTAGATGGAATATAAGCCATCGTAACAGATGTCTTAAAAAGAGAATTCTATGGTTTCTTGCTTTCTACGGAGATAGTAGAGAGAGTAGCCGTTAAATGCTCTAATGAAATCAGACATGTGAGATGTGCTATTTTGACGGCTATACGTGTGAATTGTTGGAAATATGGGATAAATTGATGGGTGAATGAATGAAAAATTGATGCTCAAAGAACACCCTTGAGTTGGAAGTGGGAAGTGGAAAAACACTAGTCCCACATTGGAAAAGAAAGAAGGCTATGGAGTGCTTTATATACAGTTACACTCATTTGAAGTGGCAACTATCATAGCACAAACTCTATGCCTCGCGCGCAGGCGCAGGGGGGTGCAAATCCGACGTCTTGAAACTTGGGCGCGAGCGCACATCCTGCGTACACGATTGCAGGACCGAAAAGTGGGCCTCGACTTGCTCCTTCGAGGAGAAAAGGTAGTAGAAGGTCCAGGTGGGCGAGTCCAGGCAAAAAACTATGCGACAAGGAAAGTGAGTACTGAACTCCAAGTGAAGGAAACAACAAAAGAGTTTCTTCACTTGAACAAGAGTTGTTGCTCTCAGAATGAATGTCCTGGGTAGATGTGGCTGTAACATTCATCGAGAAACCGGAAGTGCAAGACACTTTCCCAAAGGATAGAAAAGAAGAAAGTTTATTTGATATGAAATAAGTGTACTAGGGGAAAGACAGGCCTTATATATCTGAAACGTCATCAAGCTTTTGAAAGAAAAAGACTAATCCTAGGGACAAAAAGAAAATTGAGGCCTTTAAAAGGAAAAGTGGAAGAGTAAACCCGTGAGTTGATGAAACTGTTGTTGGATTTTGGGGATTAAAAGCCCACAAGGCTCATGCTTGTCCATAAAAGTATCAACAAAAAGAGAATCTTCCAAGAGTATTTATCGAAGATGCAGTCTTCATGATGAACCTGCTTATAAACATATAGATGAGCAGGAATTTGAAAATTTATATGTTGAGGTTGAATCTATCTATGAAGTTTTCCCAGAATATGAGACAGACGAGGAAGATTCTTATTAGTGGAGTGAACAATTATCTATGAGGAACGCATGCGGTGATATAGTGCCCTTAGAGTCAACATCTTAGGTATTAGAAGAAACTTTTCGATAAGATTATCAGTCAGGATCGATTTTGGAGTGGAGGTTGCTGGAAATAGATGTTAGGGCAGTTTATTGATTACTCAGATTTAACTTTAAATAGGCCATAGATGTCTCACAATCAAAGTCAATGGCGCATGGTGTTGTGTACCGAACTTCAAACCTTAGATATACCTATGCTAAATCTCCAAAAGATTAGAGAAACAAGACAGAACGAGATGTACATACAGTTATATACATATAGGGTGAATCCAAATAGGACTGGTGCCACTATTCATCTTCCTGTTATAGTCTTGTGATTGCAGCTGTACTGGATCAAAGATGGGCAGATTTTAGAGATCAGTCGATATCAGGAATACTAGCCAATCTAGCACATGGACTAGTCTGGTTCCAAGCACATCCAAATTATTTGATGGCTCGGAATGATCTTTGTTTGGGGAATTCATTAACATTGAGAATTAATTCTTTGAACATGGATAGGACAAACCCGCAGGTCAAATGTTTGGTGTGTCACACTAAATAATTTACAGATTCGTTAATACCACAAATCCTAGAGAAAGTAAGTTAGATAGCAGAATTGTTTGAAGAGGTTCACACGATTATGGACAATTCCGTAAGCAAAAATTTAATCCCCTAGAATTAACATGGCCTAGGAGTTCAACCATGGTGGAACCTATTGGAGCAGCTAGAGTGATTAGTGCATCTCAGGTCCAATAGAGGAGAGCAAGAATAACTTTATGTTAGGAGGACTGTCTACATCCCATTTGTTAGGAAAATAAGGATTTTAAAACCTCTTAGTGTACCACGGGATACTGTACAAGAAGTCAATTGGGAAGTAGTTGCATCTCAGAGGTATATAAACTCAAGAACTTTAGAAAGAAGGATCATAGGATACAAACAAATTAACATGCCTGTCTATGAAGAAGAGAATACATAGTCAAGAGAGGATAATGTTCCAATGATAATGCACTCCGAAGGAGAAAAAATCCAGATCCTAAGTCAGATACCTGAAGTTGTCCAAGCTTTTGGAAACGATAGCAAGGCAATGGTCTACAGCCATAGACGAAATTTGGGATATGATTGAACCCTCCCAAATGGTATCTACAAATGTGGTATTTAGTACCAAGGAAGCTGGGTTAAGCACTTACGTGGTTGTGACATTTAAGTTTCCCGGGTGTTATCCATACTCGATAGACATATTAATAGACACTAGAGCTTGTACTATTTGTGCAAGACCCAATGCTTCGCCAGATGAATGGTGGACACCATTAACAGAGCCCATTCAATTAAGAACGGCAGATGGGAACCAAATATGATTACTCAGGAAGCAATCAATGTTCCTATCTTCATTGGTGAACGAAGGTTTACCGTTAGAAGGATCTTTGCTTTCCTGACATTAGATGAGGTAATGCATTCTTAAGGGGACAAAAGGAAAACTGGTCTTTTATGCAAGACAACACCACAATTACTATAGCAGGCGTGACAATCAAAACTCTTCGAAGTCCTCGGTTAAGATAGAAATATGAGTTTTGCTCCGTGAAACAATTAGACTTTTGAGCAAGCATTCAGGGCGCGAGCACAGCATGTAAATAATGGGAACATAAGTTATTAGGATGCAAAAAATCTTCGTTTCCAAATGATACCTTCTAGTATTAAAAATTGTTCTGCCTAGAACAAGGAAAAATTCGGAGTATCCAACTGTCAAGAACGAAATGGAATAAGTTTCTGCCAAAACTGAAAAAATAACTTTTGTGAGGATCCACAAAAAGTGGAGTCTTAATGGTGTAAAAGCCAGATTTGAGCTAAAAGATCCAAATACAATCATTTGAGCAAAATACATAACATGCTCTGTGGGGATGGTAGAGGAATTAAATTCCTGATCTGTTCTCTAAAGGTTTCATTAGAGATGGTTTTAGTCCGCACTCTAGCCCGATTTTTATGGTTATTAAACATGTAGATCAGGTATGGGGAAAAGCGGGAGTTGTTACAGACTATCGTCAGCCCAACAAACCCACGTAGTCCTAAGCTTTTAGTCCGATTTTTGCCAATCCCATGAACGGCCTTTAATGCTACGTAGGGAATGTATGAATGGTTAGGGAGAAATTGTCCAATGACTCCTAAATTTATTATATGCATATCAATTAAATCCTAAACTTTTTAATTTTGCCAATTTAATCCTACACCTTTGTGCGAAATTCCATTGTAGTCTTTCTGCAAATTTGTATGAAATCGCTGGCGTGGCGGTATGCCATGTTAGATAGCTAGAGATGACTGGACCGGCACGTAATCAATTGTCATCAAAATTTGATCAAAAGGATTATATTTGAATTTCACGCAAAGGTTCAAGAATAAATTGGCAAAATTGAAAAGGCTTAGGACTAATTTGGCATGCGTATAATAAATTTAGGACTGATTGGGTAATTTCCTCAAATGGTTAATGATGCCATTCTCTATAAGTGCAAAATGGATGATGCCTTCAAGTATCTTCGCAAGTTTTGTGCTGTGTATATATACACGATGTAATAGTCTCTAGTAAAACTGAAAAGATGCATATGAATCACTTAGAAGTTAGAACAACTGACAAATGTCTTTAAGAAAGAAGTCATGATTCTATCTGAAAGAAGGTAAAATGGATTAAGGAAAAGTTAATTGCTTGGGTGTGGAAGTAGACAAAAAAAGCTAGTATTAGAAACCTACATTTGGAGATATAATAAACTTTCCTGACAAACTAGAAGATAGAAAGCCCAGAGATTCTATAGACCTGCTAAATATGCTAAAGAAGTTTAAAATATCTTAGCAGGCTACCCAAGAATGCTCCAAGTAATACATCTCGGTTTAGGGGTGATGAAGACACTCGAGCAGTTAGAAAGGTAAAAGATAAGGTAAAGCATATTTGCTGCCTTCATCATTACCTTCTGATTCAGATGACTTAATCTTGGAGATTGATGCACCAAATGAATACCGGAGAGCATTATAAAAAACTCAATAAAGAAAACCAGAACGATTTTATAAATATTGGTCCGACACGTTTAAATGGTATGAACTCAATTATCTGATGCATGAAAAGGAAGTACTTGCTTTGAAAAATTGTGTAGAAAACAGTTTACATCTTCCTAGCCCCAAAAAGGTTTGTGGTGAGAACTGATTCTGAATATGTCAAAAGATTCATGAATCTGAATCTGAAAGAAGCTACGCAAACTAGGCTTCTCATATTACAAGAATGTTTAGTTATGACAAATTTGACATAGAATATATTGCTTCAGATAACAATGTCTTAGCCGATTCTCTTTCTTGTAAGTTGTCTCGTTGTGCAGATAAATCCCACAGCTAAAAGAAAATTTTTTGGGTATGCAAGCAAGAGGGGCATCCGAGGAAGAGGTGTCCTAAGAGAAAGAAGCAGAATGAGAGCGAAAGCTATGGTTCTATTAGAACGAAAGAAAATATTTGTTGGCTTTAGAATGTTAGAGGAAAAGGAAAAAAGCCTTGGTATCATCCGTTGAATGACTGAGTATGGATACTGTGAAATACTTGCCAAAAGAATGAACTGGTCAGTTGAAAAGACAGTTGAAATTCAAATGCTTCTTTTGATTAAGTTCGAAAAAATTAAAGAAGAAATCCTTGAAGTGAAAATCGTGGATCAATAGAAGATGATTTGTTTGGCAAACAAACCTACTCGCAAAGCATAATCTGATTCAGAAACGGTTATTGGTTTATTGGGTGAACCCTTGGGCAAATATGACTATTAGGTCAAACACTCAAAGCCAAAGTACGAAGAGAGTGAGACACCAATAAAGTTATGGGGACAAGATCTTGAAAATGAAGATCTTGAAAAATCCGTACCAGATGACGATAAAATAAATCACAAGGTAAATATTACAGAGAATCATAATCCTATTCCTAAAGATTTTGAAATTGAATCTGATGATAAAAACCACGAAGATGAAAAATTTGAAAATGTTAAAGTTTTTATATCTTCTGATTGATTCCAATGATCATGGTCTTTCAAGGGATGGGTACGAAAATCTATGCCGAGTTGCTAGGTACACTTCAGAAAAAGATTTTCAGCAACTTGAATGGTTCATAAAAGATCCTGCTTCATATATAATGATTCTAGAAATTGAGTTAAAATTTTGTAAAACAAACGGAGAAGAGTTCCTTAAATAATGGGAAGTTAAGGAACGTATTCTCGCCATGACTAAAGCTCTACTACCCGGAGAATTGACGTTAAGAAAGAAGAAAACTTTAGTAGACTCGAGAGACACTTCTTTAGAGGAACTCTCTGTTCTAAATCCTTATCTCCATTGGGAAGGAAAAGGATGACTAACCTAGACCTGACACAAGCATTGCAGAAACTGGACTTCCATTTGTCTAAGCAGGGTTTGCAGACAGGACCAAGATTGACAGAGGCGATTCACACCTGCTTAGTAGACTTCATCCGTGGGTAAAATACGCTTTAAGCTGCTTAGGATATGGTCCTAGATATGCTACAGGGGTTGTTACCAGCACGATGAATGGAACCGGATGATGAAAGCAATACTCTATTTCCTAACAGATCTGGGAATTCAACAACTTGCAGAACCAAACAAAACCCAGAGAAACATAAAAATGCAGTGGCACATGTAAATTTTATTACTAAAGCCACTGAAATTGAATTCTTTAAAGCTGTCCCAGAGCATGTAATAGGCAACAAACGAAAGTATTATCTGCTCGGTGATGGAAGAATTTTCGTCATGATTCTCAAGGGTCATATGAGCTTTGAATAACAAGGAGCCCATAGATGATGGGAGAGTGGAGTCGATCTGCCCGCTAGGTTCTGGCTTAGAGAAGAGAGTTTGTCTTTCTCTGTTTTTGTCCCGTCTCAGCCGTCGTTGCCAGCCTCAGGCCACCATCCCGTGCGGCTGTGGCTAGCGACCGTTGACCCGAGCTTGACACCCTAGATCTGGGGTCGCGAGCCTAGATTTGTTGAAGCCGCTTGACAGGGAGAGACAGAGGGGCTGAGGTGACATGGCTGGGGCGGCGTGGGGATGTGAGCACTCGGGCGGCAGTGTGTCAAGAATTAGCGGAGGCTCAGAGAAGACGAACGGCTCGCATATGGTACTCTAGTTAGCGTGCTGCTTAAGTGTGCTCTGTGCTGTGAGAGAGAGTGGGGAAGAGAGGGAGAGAGAGATAGTTTTTCACGTACCCATCTGTAAAATGTCGCCCAGACAAGCTACCAGCATAAAAAAGAGCTTTCTTCCATCTCTTTACTTTCTCGGAATCCTTCCCGAACTTGTCCTCATGCTCAGCCATAGCTTCTAAGTAACTTTCTCTGGGTGTTCTCACTTCACAGGGTTCCACTTTGTAAAACACTGGATAGACCATGAGGTCTCTTTGCTCCTTACACTTCATGATTTTTGCCAGCTCTTCCAAACACCACGTCGAAGAGGCATAGTGCTTGGAGAAAATGACGATTGCAATACGCGACTCCTCAATCGCCTTCAGGAGCTCGGTTGATATTTGCTCTCCCTTTCTCAGTTCTTCATCATCCCTGTAAGTATTTATTCCTGCTTGGTCTAGAGCTGTGTAGAGATGACCGAGGAAATAATTTCGGACATCCGGGCCTCTGAAACTCAGGAAGATGTCATAACACTTTCTGGGCTTAGAGGAAGAAGAAGCCATTAGAATCAAGGAAGAGAGGACGTTCACTACGAGCAATGAGTTGCCGAAGATTTAGAACTCTGTTTGAGGTAGTTTGTTCACCATTTGACGGTCTCCATGTATTCTTTATAACGAGTTGCCATGACTTTCCTTTTCGGGGTCAACAAAGAATATTATTATGTCTTCTAATAATGGGATAAATATACTGGAAGTCCTAAAACTTGTCATAAAAGTATAATTGAATCCTAAAATTTACAAAAAATATAATCAAGTCCTAAAATTTATCAAATTAGTACAATCGAGTCCTTCTAATTAACTACTGAATAGAAATATAAAGCTAAAACGATATTATTATGGCCTAAATTCTAATTTTTTTACCAAAATATTAATTAATTAAAATAAAAAATAAAAAATAAAAAACAAAAAAAAGGCCAAGGCAAGGCAAGGGTAGCTGACAACTTGTCGTTGCCGCCCCCGTTGCCAAAAAGGGTCGGCGGGGGCTGGCAACCCTCGCTGATAACAGGAGAGGGCTTGGCGATTCTCGCCCAGCTGTGGTGGCTCTTGGTGAGCGTTGTAGCCCTCCACCCAGATCTAAGCACGAGTCGCCGGCCCTCACCCAGCTGTGGTGGCTCCCGATGAGGGTCGCTGGCCCTCGTCCAACCCTTGACAGCCCTTTCCAGCGATGGGGGTGACGGTGGTGGCGACGGCAAGGGCTAGTCGCCCTTGCCTTGCCTTGGCCTTTTTTTTTAATACCTTTTTTTGTTTTATTTAATTAATATTTTGGTTGAAAAATTAGAATTCATGTCATCACCACACAGGAGAAAAAAATATTTAAAAAAGCCATGTTAGCATTTTTCATTAGTCTAAATAGACGGAGTTAATGGAATAACTCGATTAGACCAATTTGATAAGTTTTAGGACTTGATTGCACTTTTTATAAGTTTTAAGATTCAATTGTACTTTTCAGGTAAGTTTAGGATTTCTAGTGCACATATCCCTTTAATAATATTATTTTGCACTAGTGAAAGCAGTGGGAATTTGCACGTGAAACTTTTCTTTGTCAATTAGATATTTGATGGGGACAAATCTTTTTTTTAATGTTGAATTTATTGTTAATAGAATCGTCAAATAATTTGCTGATTCAACGTAAGATAAATTTTTATGACAATAATTTCATACCGTCTTGATTGGAGGCTCGACTGATTGATTGGTTTCCGGAAAAAAAAAGCCTTTGAAAATTGTTGAAATGCGGATTAGGTAAAATATCTCAATCCAATCCAAACCTCAATAAAAACCTCCAAGAAGCTATAAGCCAAACGAGTCAATCAAACACAGTTTCATCATAAGTTATTTCGATTCCACATCGCATCCAATGTGCGATGCCAAAGAAAAAACGACAAGAAGCCTGCCGTGCTGTGACCATTCAATGCATGCGAGCATGATGAGGCTATATTATAAACAAAAAAGTTAGAAGCATAGCAACAAGATTAGGGACACCACAAGTCGATACACCTTGGCTAATAGTATGTTAACACATAATAAAACCCAAAAATCGGCATAGGCTCGAGTGTAGAAAGAGCCAATAAATTCTGAGGACATGTTAATAATAATTGTAATAGAGAGGGATGGAAATGGATGGACAAAGAGATGTAGGCAATCAAATGGCATAAAGGGACACCGCCAAGAACTTAGCTTAACCCTCGCTGTCCTCTCAGCCTTTTTGTCTTTACTTCTTTCCAATAGTCCCCACCGTCCGTCAACATTTTAGCTCGACGCTTCGGCATCAACATACATTGAATCCTGATAAATAGAAAAGAACTTTAGCCTTTGCTTTTCTTTCTATTATATGGAAAATAAAATGTCTCATTTCATTAAAAAAAGGTTCAGCTACTCCATTGGCTCCCCAATGAAATACTTCGCTGTGGCTCCAGGAAACGGCATTAGCACCCAATGAGATTTTGTCTTTCTATTCTTTTCTTTATTTGCATAGTATAAATAGCAATTCGTGACTACTCCAAAGATATGTCATTTTTAGTTTGTTTTTGTTTTTTTTTCCTTATATGCATATAGCATAAGAGCCCTACGCACGTGCTTTAGCTTCAAAAGTTGGTCACTCGTATTTTTCATTTTTCTTTAAAGTGACCAAAAAAGTGAAATCGTTTGACACATATTGACAATTGAATTCTTGTCTCACACAAAAGAAAAAACAAGCTAACCATTTAAAAATAAAATAAATCCTTAAAAAATTAGCAAATAAGAAATTACTAAAAATATATCAGAGTAAAGTCAGAGCAAAATGTATAAGGCTCCATGAAAGAATCCAATTTGAATTCAAGAAGACAATCGCTACAGACCAAAGTACAAATGAACGAACCACAATCCAAATTCTAGCAGTGGAATCTTTCATCGATTCATCCCTAGAAACACTTATCCAAGATGCATGACTTTCTTCTTAGTAGGTCAATAAAGAATATTTTTCGGTCTTTTTCAAATGCATGGACTTCATTGCCTCCCCAATGAAAAACTTCGCCGTGGCTTTCAGAAAATGGCATTTGAAACCTTACTTTTTTTTGCAAATTATATATGACAATTCGTGACTACTTGAAAGGTATTTCACTTCAAGTTTTTTTTACCTATTTGCACATTAAAGCATACTAGCCCTTGTGCGCTTTTGCTTCAAAAGTTGGTCAATCATATTTATCAATTTTTTAAAGTAATCAAAAATTGGAATTCTTTGACGCATTTCGAACAATTGAATTCTTGTCTCACTCGATTCTATCACTAACTTAGCAAATGAAATTACAATTTGTCGTACCACATTTGAATTGAAACCATTGTCACTATGGAAAATGGGATAAAAAGCATCCAAGAAAGTAAAATAGGATTGATTAAGGAAAAGAAGTTAAAACTATTTTTCTGCTTTTCAAGCAAAGCAGAAGAGAGAGATGGGGCAATTGGAGAGAAGGACGCGGTGGGGCCCGCGAGGCTCAACAAGCTTGGCTTGAGTTCCGCCGCTAGAGAGCCGGGTACTACGCCGCCAGGAGCAACAAGCAGGTGCCGTTGGCTAGCATCATGACAAGCCTGATCCTGATCATGGTGTGAAGGAATTTGATCGGGTTACTCGAGCTCAAGTTTGAGCTACTCAAGTATTTTGCCAAGTTGTGCTCGAGCTTGTCAATACTAGCTCAATAGGCTCGCGAGTCTTATCGAGTTTTCTTTATCTTTTAAAAAATATTTGATAATTAGAAAAATAGACACATATTACCAGAAGTTACATAATATTTGAGCTTATACAATCAAAGATCGAGTCTTATTTATATGTAGATTGTGATCGAGTCGAGTCGAGTCGAACTTGAGTATCTCTATTTTCTACTCGGGTTGAGCTTGAGTAGGAAATTTGATACTTGATCAACCACGAGTCAAGCTTCGAGTACCGAGTATGCAGGTTGAGTCGAACTCAAGCTTATCGGTGTTTGATTTGAGTTGGCTTAATTACACTTCCATGTACTCACTTTTGGTTTAAATATATAGATTTAAGGCAAGCTGAGCATCACCTACTTCACCAATACGACCTACATGATCACAATTTGTCCACTCACACGTGCTTAAAAGTCTTTAGTTCTTATAACTAATTTCACAAGCGACGCTAGCAATCACCTTTCAGTCCATTTTCCTTCAATTTGGTCTTGTTATCTCCAAAGTGCGACATTGCTTTTCTTCAACAATTGATTTATTATTTCTTTAATGTAAAATCGTGAGTTTAAATGATATATCTGTCAAATGTTACTCACATTGACATTAAACACCTCTTAAAATGAGATGTGGTAAAAGTGGGAACCAAAATTTAACGCAGACATTACTGTGCAATGATTTACTTTAGAGTACTGTTTATATAGTAACCCACTTTTACTTGTATCGACAGGCACTTGGAAAATATATTCATATATATTTGCTCACCACTTTCAAAAAAAGAAAAAGAAGGAAGAAGTGAAAAACAAAGGAAGATGATTTGTTGTGTTAGTCTCTTGGCTCTCAATTCTGTTTTTAAGGCTTTTTAATAGCACAAGGTTTTATTTTAGAGACTCAGTTTGCTGATGGTGGCATGTTGGGAAGTTTGAATAGCTATTTATCCGATGTTCATATTCTTTTCTTGAAGAAAAACTATTTGTTGGAATATAACATAGTACATATGTGCATGATAATCATTATATTTTTCCGTTTTTCTATTTTTCTATTCCAAGGAATAGGTTTGGAATAGAAATTTGTTTTGTAACGCAATTTCATTTGTCTATTTTCGGAACAAATTTTTAGTCCGGAAATAGATTTGAAATAGAAATGAGAAGTAAAAATTTTCTGTTTTCCTATTCCTAGAACAAAAAGAGAAATAATTACTCTTTTTATCGCTTGCCCTCACCTCCTGCTGTCCATCGACCGCCGGCCACCAGCCGTCGGTTGTTGCTCCCCGCCGGTTGCCACCACCCCCCGCCAACCTACTGACTACCGCCTCCCATTGCCCGTCAATGAATGGAAAAGAGCGTAAGAGGAAGAAATTTTGTGTCGTTATCAAACAAAATTCTGTTCTGGGAAGAAAAATTGTATTCTTATCAAACACATATCTCTGTTCAAAAACTCATCAAGAGAATAGAAATACAAAAATTTATTTTTGGAACAGAATGGTTATCATCCGCACTCTAAATAGTTCGTGCTGACTTTTTCTCATACCTCATGTCATGTAGTTGCTATGCTAACTTCAATATTTATTACTTGCCGACTTGCTGTGGTTGGTGGATCCTGTTCACATTATGAAATGGATATTGCAAAAATTGTTAATTTTATGTACCCATCTTAGTCTCAATCTGATTTTGATGTGTTTCATTTCAATAGTTTAAGCAATGGCTCAGTATTTTGCCTTTGTACTTGATTGGGACGCTACGGTTTGTTTCATACTGTGCCAAGAGATAGGTGAGTCACCTGAAAAAAAAAAGAAGAGAGAGTAAGCAATTGTAGAGCGACGATCAATGAGATCTCAAGCCCAGTCTGCATCGGAAATAGTCGAGGCACGAA